AAATGACCAGGTTTTTGACCAACAACAACAATGGGAGTCCCAGTGTGCGCGACAATCGGGTCTGCCACTGCACCCCGAAATGTTGACATTTGCTATGGTGCACAATCCGACAACGCCTACCAGAACCCCCATGCGCATCTACCATGTGACCCGTTTGGGGGACAAACAGACAAACACATGCAAATGGACAGACTGTGTGGACTGAGTTGGAGCGTCGGTCATCAGCCTTCCAAGCCACGGCACTTGACGCACCGTGATGGTGTCAGAGCCGAATCACACATGCAGCAGAGGAGCCTCATGGAGACGGAGCGGAGATGCACACTTCCCACTTGCGTGGGAGGTGACAGTTGGATGCTTGTGGTGAGTGATGATGTTGTGGGATGTAGGTGAGGGAAGATGTGATAGTGTGGTATAGCCCGCGGTTGTCTGCCGCAGGTTTTCGTGAATGCGCATGTAGCCTAATAGGCCCATGCAGTGGGTGAATGTACAGGGGCAGTTAGGGCAGTTTAGGCGGATACGTCGGGTGTTGGTTGGTTCTCCAGGCACTGGTTCGTCAGTCTCTGTGCGATAAATTTGCAATTGACCGATCAGGCCGATGCGTGAGGTGAAGGTTCGATCGCAGTGAGGAAAGGTATGAAGCAAGTCCATATTGCTGGTGCTGGCAGTGGTGAGGTTGATGTTTACCAGTGTGTTAAAATTGAGTGTGGTGGCGGAGTATACAGGAGCTGTTGCAGCGGATGTTGAAGCGACGGAGGAGGATGGCAGTGGCGGTTGAGAAGTGCGGCTAATGTTGATTGTCGGCCCGAAAGGCAAGACAGAGCTGGACGAGGTACATCAGTAAAGAAGAAGGAGTTATAAGAAAGTGGATAAACAGCCTCCACTCAGATGAGGTTGTCATATTGCTTTTGCCTGCGTGTAGTCTCTCCTACCACATTAACAACCACAAATGAAGGGGCACAGAAATATTTGTAACGACGATTTTAACGAGTTGAGGCGTACTGTTTCGGAGGAACCCTAAACAGTCAACATGGAAGATCCAGAAGACTTCTAGCAATATATTGGGGGGGGGGGACTAGAGAGGGTCTATTTGAATCCAGTTGCCCTATAAAAATCATGAGACTGCGTGAGCGACTTCAGTGGTTCACTCTGATGACAAAGAAGATCATGAAAAAGAAACAGAGGCCATGGAAAAAGCACTTTCGTTGTCAAGATCCCATAACATTCGCCGAATATAGGGAAAACGTAATAAATGCTGCGAAAAAATTTGGGTTGCCAGAACTTCTCTCAACTGCCGACTGACAACAGAATGCCTTATATGTCCCAAACAGTTTTATGGGTACATCCGCAATAGGAGGAGACATGTGGACGAAATTGCATGTATAAAGGATAATCTCGAAAACTTATTAGTTGAAGGGCCACAGATAATAAAAGCACTGTCTCAATTTCTTCAGTCGGTTTTTACAGTGAAGTCCTCTGAAGACAATCAGGAGTTTGAAATGGGTCTCGAAAATGAAGAGTTTCAAATGGTGTAAGATACTACCGTCATTGAAACGGTTGTCTTTTCTGTCGAAAAAGTAAGACGCGTCCTCAGTCCAATTAAGCCAAAGAAGTCCGCTGGGCCTGACGAAATACCTGAGCTAATACTTAAGGAACCGTCAACAAAGCTGACAAAGCCTCTCTCAACTTTCTTTGGGCTGTCATTGAGAACGGGGGACTGACCCCGCAATGGAAGACAGCCAACCCCGTTCCCCTGCGTAAAGGGAGGTAGCAGGATGACAGCATGTAGCCTCAGGCCCATTAGCTTGACTTGCCTCTCATGCAAAACGATGGAAGCCCTAGCAAAGAGCGCTATACAGCAGTTTCGTGAAGAAAACGACACCTTACAGAATTTTCAGCAGGGCTTCTGGAGAGGACATTCCTGCCTCTCAAATCTGCTAACTTGTCTGGAAGTCTGGACCAGAACTTTGAGGTCGATGTCGTATACATCGATTTCCTCAGAGCATTATTATTATTATTCGATACTGTCCCTCACCAACGCCTTCTTCATAAACTGGACGCCACGGGCATTCGGGGAGATCTTCTGAACTGGATAGAGGCATTTCTGGTTGGTCGAAAACGGGGTGTCTGCATCGGAGATGTGTCAGACTGGGTGAACGTGACTAGTGGCGTGCCTTGAGGCTCAGTTCTCGCACCCCTATTTTTCATCCGTTATGTTAATGACAGCCTTCAATAACTCAACTGCGGCAAAAGAAAGTTTTCTGGCGACGTTAGGCCTTGGCAAGTCATCAAGGGTCCGAATGACCAGAAAACCCTTCAAAATAACCTGCACCGACCGCGAACGTGATCCGAGAAATGGCTTCTGGGCTTAACTGTGCGAGAGTGTGCCGTCATTCATCTGCACCCAAATGACAACATGAGGGCATATCAAGTGAAAGGCATTTCTCTTCCCTCAGAATCTTTGCAGAAGGATCTGAGTGTTTGGATACAGAGCAACATGGAACCAGCACTTCAGTGCACAAAGGCTACGAAAAACGCCATGGGAATATTCCATGCGATCAAAAGGGCGTTCGTGACCTTTGACAGAGACCTTTTTGGAAGAGTTGACGGCACCTTTGTTCGGCCCCATTTAGAAGATGCATATTAACGTAGCGGCCATGGCTAGTAAAAGGCCAAACAGGCCTCAGGAAAATACGTCGTGCAACGAAGCTGGTGAACGGTTTAAAAAACCAGTCCTACATAGATGGACTGAATTGCCTTAATTTATTCCCTTCGTGTTACAGCGAACAAAAAGGTGATTTTATCCTGGTTTACAGGATAATACATGACCTTGAGCATGGACTAAGCTTTGAGGGCATGTTTCAGTAGCACCTTTCGTCCTATCTTCGTGGATACCCGATAAAGCTGCGTACAAAGCGTCCAGGCCGAAGCTTTGCTCTAAATTTTTTTACACAGAGGGTAGTGGAGAGACGGAATGATCTCCGTCAATCATTCGTGGAGGCGACATCCCTGCAACTATTCAAGAAACGTTTGGATGATTGTTCGTGTTCCCTGTTTTTCCTAGACAGTCTGAAACTGTGCTAAATACCCCGTGAACCCCAGAATGTTTATTTCAAAAAACAGTGCTACGTTAGCCATACAAGTACTATTTTAGTGGAGAGCATTTTTTCGAAGGCCTTGCCTTTTATTCTTACCAAATAAACTGAAGCACGGAGCTAACAACTGTCGGCCGGTGAGCCTGGCATGAATTTGTTGCGTGTCAAAAGCTACCACGAATTTTCTTGGCGAAAAGGATTTCTTTGACAGTTTTCAACGTGGATTTCGACGAAACCACTCTTGATTGGCCAGTATTCTCTATTCAATGAAGCAGTGGTTCCGCTCTTTTACGGAAATGACCGAATTAGAGTTTTTATGCGAAAGACCTCTGAAACGCACAAACTCCAGCAAATTAAGTTTACGATAGCTAAAAAATCATTTTTCGGCTTATTTTTCTTTCATTGCATCACAAACAACCGCGCATATGACCTTGAGCCAAAACGTGCAGTCTTGCTGTAGACGAACCTCCTACCTGTTTTGTGCTTCCTGCGGTGCCGAGTACGGTAGCTATTGCTCTTTTCCTAATATCTTTCGTCGTAGAGTCGTCGCTTAATTCTGCATCAGCTAACTTGTTGGCGTCGTTCACTCACAAAAATCCCAGCAAAACCGGTGTGTAT